AATATATATATATATATATATATATATATATATATATATATATATATATATATATATATATATATATATATATAACACGTGGTCGATTCTAAATTTGGGAAAATATCATATACAATTTAGTTCGAATCGGCTTTAAAAACAAGCTCACTCGTAGAGTCCTTTTTACCATATGCAGTTATCGCGGTCCAAAATCTAATTACGGTCACTTGCCGTAATTTTAAATAGCGGTTCTTGCGGTGAGATAGCAGTGGGATAAAGGTTTTTAAATATCTTGTAAAATCAATCAATTAAATATTCCTTATAAATAAGTTAATCGTTTCCTTATATAAAACTAATCCATTGAAGAAGGAAAAAAAAAAAAAGCGATAGAAACAGAAAGAAAATGAAATCGGCATAGTTAAAATCAATTTTGTGAAATAGCAGTCAAAAACCGAGATCTTGGAGTCGAAATAGCGGAAAATAGCGGCCAATCTCAGCAACAGTAGCGGCTCCGCTATTTTGAGCGCTATTTGAAATCGCTATTTTGCCAACACCCACGAAACACTATCCCACCGTGATCTTACCGAGATCTCAACGCTATTAACTGCCCAGTTTCTATTCACGGAAGAGTCAATAACATTTTCTAATTTTATTATCATATTTATTAATTACTTATAATTGATCGTTATTTAATTACTTATTTAATATAATATTAACATGAGAAAAATGATTTAAAATGGCAAACAATGTTCGAAAATTTGCTTTTTATGTCACTAAATTTTTAATTGTATCTAATAAACAAATCAATTTTTTATTTTGATTTTAAAATATCAATGATTATGATTTTTATCGATTAAAATGAAAATGAAAATCATTTTTGTCCCCGAAAAACCTATTGTTGTCATTTTTCTGAAACCAATACTTCAACTATTTAGATTTTTACCGATTAAAATGACAATATCACAAAACAACATGACGTCACTAATAGTTATCATTTGCGGTTTTAGAAAAATGATTACACGAGACTTTTAGTTAGAAGTAGCAAGGTAGTGACAGTTTTTATTGTAATTTTAACCAAAAAAATCGTAATCATTGGTGCAGTGGCGGTGTTATTAATTGATAACCACGTGAATTTGAGGTTTGGATTTTAAAATTTTGAACATGTTAAATTTGCCACTTGCAATTATGCCCGGTGTGAAGGTTTGCCCTTTAAAAAAGCTAAAATTACGGGTCTGATTCGATTGCCTTTTCCTAAATAAATAAATAATTAAATAAATAAACAGCTTCATCCTCCAAAAGATACTACTCGGTGCACGTGTGGAACACGTGCCTATTTTTATCAAAACTTTGTTTGGTACAATCGTATATATTTGGAGCTATTCGCGACATTTCAAGTCTCATGACTCAGTGATATCCATTAAATCGATTTTGAGATTAGCATAACGCAAAACCAGGTGTGCATTGATGATTTGTACGTTACAAGTATTATTGCCTATAGAAAGTTAGAGATTTTCACATCTTTCTTTCATTCCATAAGAAGATATATCATCTGAAAACAGCATCTTTCTTCGCAAAACGGTAGACAACAACACCAGTTCTAGAATCACTAGATGGACCATCTTCATGAATCAATTCAACCTGAAAATGCTTCTTCGCTCTTTTAAAGAACCCAGATTCCTTCTTCCACCGCCGCAAATGACCCATCAGAAACACCTTCTCACCGCCATCTCCTCCGCCGTCTAACAACAAGAATTTCAACGTCTGAAGCAAAGGCTCATAGAGATGATCATGATAAACAACATCCGAACCAATAATCAAGTCGTATTCCCGCCCTATTGCTTCCATTTCTTCCGTTTCCCCCCAACTCATCGGCGCCACGTGGACTTCGCCGCCGCGTGGGGCTAATACTTCGGAATTAGCGTCGGCGTTGAACTTGAGATTTACCAACACGTGAGGGAGATCCGTCACGGTGACGTCAGCGCCAAGTATGGCGGCGGCGGCGATCCCGACGATGCCGGTTCCGGATCCTAGCTCCAGAATGCGAAGGCGTGGATGGCGTTTTGCGGTAGTGATGGCGGCGGAGAATGGATCGGTGTTGGAGGCATGGTAGCTGTCGAGGAGTTTGACGAAAGTGGCGGCGGCTGGCCAGAGCTGGAAGGAGAGGCCTTGGGAGGGAAGTTGGCGGATTACGACGGTGGAATCGATTGACGTGAGGTGGTAGTTTTGGTGTTGAATGGGTGTCGGAGCCACTTCGGGTTTCTTACCATTTTTTTGTTGAGCATCGTCGTCGTTGTCTAGTAAAAGCATTGTGACCGGATTGATCTCTTCGTCGTCGCTGTCTACGGCGGAGACGGTGGTCATAAGATGAAGGCGCCGTCGTTTTTAGGGTTGAAGAAGGTTATGGGGACACTATTTTAAGAAACTTGCTGGGGAAGTAGGTTAAGATTTGGACGATTTTGCCCTTTTGTCCCCGTCAAGTGGATAGCGTTGACTTGATTTTTTGACCGAATCTTACCATTGGGAGAATCACGCGAATAAATCTTCTATTCTGTTTCTTTTTCCTTTTTTGGGCATTGAAGTATTTGAGGAGGGAATGGAATGGATGATTCCATTCCGATCCAAAAACATTGTTTACTATACAGAAAGAAATCATACTTTTCTATTCGAGTAGGAATGCGTCCCTAATATTCATTCCCACGGCATTGTTTTTTTCTTTTTGCTTTTTCATTTTCCACGAGATAAAAATTGTAATTGGCTAATATATTAGCAGCTATTTTTTTTGGTCAATATGTTGCAATAATAGGTTATTTGGTTTTAACCAAATCCGTCAAATTCTTTATTTTATAAAATATAAAAAGATTCTTAAACACCCCACAATAATGTTTATAAAAAAAACATAAGTAGTTTCTGCTTTATATTAAAATTAACTAGGTGTGAAACCCATGTATTACATGGATTTAATTAAAAAAAATATGAAATTTTAACAATTTGAAAAGTTTGAATCTATAAGAAAAATGAAAAAAAAAATGAATTATTAAAATTATTGAAACTTTAATGTATTGAATACATTACATATATAAATCCTTTATAATAAATATTTTACATATATATTAAATTACACATTAAATGTGGAATTTTAATTTAATAAAATAAAAAATACAATAAAATGACAATTAGAAAATAGAAAATTTAAAAAATTTAGAAAATGCTAAGTATCCAAATGAAGGAGAAGAAGACATGTGGCAAAAAAACCTTCATTTATTATAGTAGATTACAAAGTAAATGAGGATATAAATTCTAAACAAGAGCTTTACTTTATAAAACTAATTACAAAGGAGGTAGGGATATAAATTCCAAACAAGAACTGTATTTTTAAATGCCAAAAGAGTCCAAAGTAATTACTAGCATTTAATATTATATATTATTTTCCTGTTAATACAAATATCATGAATGAATTAAGCGTAGTTTGTAGATCATGCTCGTAACGCGTTTTAAAAGCTTTTTCAAGTTTTGCTTGCATATTTTGACATGTTTGGTTGTTACCCATGAAACTTAGAAAATAAAAAGACATTTCAATTATATGATGAAAAATTAAATTAACTTCTATCTTTTATGCCTACAATTATTTTTACCCACTAAAATTATGACAAATCATCATTCAATTTTATTTTACTTGATATATTCTCAATATAACATTAATGAGTTAGTTAAAAAAAATATGAAATGATGACACTTATAATTTTATTGGATAGGAACATCTGTAAACATAAAAAGTAAGAATCAATTTAATTTATCTTATATTATATATCACTTGTCAAAACATTTTTTAAGCTTCAGTTTGACTTAGAGCATCAAACTCATGAATAGATCAAAGACTAGATTGAGTAATAAGTGAAGTTTGAATCACCGTTAAAGCCCTAAATCAAAGTTAATTTCCCAAAAATAGACACATTTATGCAAATTCTGATAAATGATGGATTAGAAACTACATCAATTTCCCGAAAATAAGTTGAAATTTCATATTTCACCATTGTTAGGGCTTTGAAGCCCAAAAAAACCATTTATGCTCAAAATCATGTTAGGAATATGAGAGAGACGGAAGTAGATTAGCAACCTAAGAGCTAAAACTAACATAAAACCTTCATTAAACAAACCTAACATGAAAAAATTTTGGATTTGGAATTTCCTCCAAACCCTAGTTTGAAAATGTGAGAGATTACTTTCTAATGGTCCAAAGGTGATTAATCTTAAGTTACTTCAAACTCTCTCTAAAACTCCTTCCATGGAGAAAATACCTTCAACCTTCCTTCTTCCTTCTCAAATACGTTGCATTGGGGAGAAAAGAGTGTGGTATGTCTAGTCTTTCTCATTATATTTTCAATATCAACTCCTTTACCAAAGTTTCCAACAAAATGATCCTCTACAATATATTTTTACAGTGATATAGTCTTAATTTTCATTTATAGGTTCTCCACATGCCAGAATGCATCATAGTCGTTCTTAAAGACACAAATGTCGACATCTAATTTCTATTTTATTTTAATTTATACTTGCCAAATTAAGGAGATATCACAAAAACATTTGAAATATATATTTTAAAACAATTTTTTCATGCTTTTTTTTTTAAACATTTTTGTTCATTGTAAATTTATATCTATTTATTTATATTATCCTACTCTTTCTTTCACAAATTAAGGAGATTTTGCAAAATATGAATAGGGTTTTTATTAAATGACTTATTTCATGATTTTAGGGTCTTCAAGGTGTCGTAATCACATGTTTCCATAGCTACAACCATCATCGACACCATTGAGATGCAAACAAAAGTGTTACTACTTGCATTAACCCAGTTGAGCCCAATTTCGGAATTAGTTGGATAACATGAACATGCAATTTGCCCAATTATCACTCCATATTGCGTTTTCCATTTGGAAGGATGTGCAACATGATTTGCATCGATTTCTTAAATTTACACTTCATTCTTTTGTGTCATTTTTGTAATTATCCCACGGAGAAACAACTTAAACATTATTCCTTCATGGAATTTGCAACAAAATTATTAAATCAAGACACCGTTTACTCATAATAAAAAAAAAACAAGAAGATTGGTGATAAAAAAAAAAAAATAGATGAAATAACACTACATGTTAGTACTAGACTACAATCAATGATGATAAACAATTACCATTTTACCCTTTGATGTCATCTATAACCACACGTGCAGCGTTGCGCCCTGGTGCACCCATCACACCACCACCCGGATGGGCCCCACTCCCACATAGATACAATCCTCTCACCGGTGTTCTATAATTTGACCTGAATTAACAAAAGAGTAAATTACATTTTTGGTCCTTGAGCATAGCTGATTTTGCAATTTTGGTCCCAAATTATAGTCATTTCAGAACAGAGACCAAAAACGTTACACAAACCTCAAATAAGCATTAAAACTGAAAGAGAAAACTTTTTGGGACCAATTTTGCAAATTTCAGCTACACTTAGGGACCTAACATGTAATTTACTCTTAAAAACTTATGATGATTAGAGAAGGCCACTGGTTGTTGACACTTACCATCCTTTTACAGGTCTCATCAGGAAAAGAGAATCCAACCCCATTGCACCATGGAAAATATTCCCTCCTGTCAAATCCAATGTTTTTAACAAAATTACGAATTTACCCCTTTGGAAGTTTTTTTTTTTTTTTTTTTTTTTTTAACTTATATATTCAATTTACCTGTGAGACCAATTATTCTTTCAAGGTCTGGTGGAGCCAACATGTCATAGCCAATAACTGATGAACTGAAGCCAGGGGCATATTCGTCAATTAATCTGAAACATCTTTGCGCAAACGATTCCTACAAAAAAATTGTTCCCAGTCAATAAGTTCTGAAAAATCAAATGTCATACCACAATAACTTGTTGAAAAACATCAGTAATAAACTTAATAATCATAAAATACACAGTTTTTCTGTAATTTTTAATAATGTATTTTTATAAAATATAAAAACTCACTCTATATGCAGGATCTTCCCAGCTTCCATCATTAGGTTTATAAGGTGTATACTGAATAAACAAGTTGATAACATGCTTCCCTTCAAAAAATCATTCAAAAATATTTTTCTATTATTTACCAAAAACTAAATAAAAAAATATATTAAAAAAGTTTATACAATAAATACCAGGTGGAGATATAGTCTTGTCTAAAACCGAAGGAATTGTCATTTCAATTACAGGCCTTTTTGATGGAAGCCCACTCATTGATTCTTGACATGCAGTATCAATCTCCTCCATTCTAAAGAACAAATATGATTATTTTATTATTTTATATAATAAGAATTTAAATTAAATACAAAAAAGATGAAAGAAAGAAAAATAGCAAACCTTTCAGAACCAATGTGAATAGTTCCCATATGTTGTGGACCAGCTTCAGGATAATTCAAATTGCAAGATTTGAAATTTGGCAATTTGTCAACTGCTAAATTGATTTTAGTTGTTGCCTGTTTAATACATTTTTATAAATCATAAAAATTTATTACAAGAATAATAATATTTGATAACGAAAATAATAATAATAACAATAAACTTACGGAACTATAGTCAGAGTGTTTAACAGCACGTGTAAAATCATCAGGGAGGATATTTTCAGGTACTAATTCCTGTTTCAGAATTTATAAAAGTGTAATTAAATTTAATTACTTGTAGCTCAAGTTACAAATATTTACAGAATGAAAATAAAAAAATGTTACCATGAAAGTCTTGTAAGGGGTAGCATTTGATAAAACAACTGAAGATTGAACTTGTGTTCCATCAGCTAAAATAACCTGATAAAAAAAAGTCAAAGTTAGATTTTGACCAATCTTTCTTCATTCTGATTGAGTGTTGAAAACTTGTAATTTTATAACAGAGTTCACTCACCCCAGTTACTGTGTGTGAATCATTGATCATAAGCTTTGATACCTGAACAACAAATAATCATAAAAGTGGATATTAAAATAATCATAAGTTTAAAAAAAAAAAGTGTTTAATTATTCCAAATATTTGTTAAAAATGACATACCTCAGAATCAGTAAGTATGGTGACACCAGCTTCTTTAGCAGCATTTCCAATGGCCATTGACACTGAGCCCATTCCACCTTCAACATATCTAAACATTTATCAGTTATTGGATTATATGAGAATATAAAAGAAAATACAAATACTTCAAAAAAAGTAAAATTTGGTGAAAAAAAAAGTATTGATTTATCAATAAAACATTACATACGACCAAATTCCACGTTCACCATCGGTTTCTCCCATCACATGATGCAACAAAACATATCCACTCCCTGGTGTTTGTGTATTTCCCTGATTTACAAAGTCAAAGTCAAAGTCAAAGTCAACCATGGTGATTGCATAAAATATTGGATTAATAGAAAGGGTACTTAATTACTTGTTACTTACAGTTGTTCCTATCACTGCATCTGTAGCAAGTGTTGCTTTCAACACCTCACTCTGCATTTTATGAAATATAAAAGATCAAAATTTTATCAGAAGCATAAATTGTCTTTAAAATCATTGAGGAATGAGGAGAAATTAACAACCTCAAACCAACGATTCAAGACATTTGATGCTGGTGATAGTAAAAGGTCCATGAAATCTCTGTAAAAAGAAATAAATACATAAGTTTAAGCAAATATAAACAACAAATTGATGTGATAAAACCTAAAAGTCTTGTTTTTTCACTAGGGTAGGAAATCTTACACAAGCCCTTGTTGACCCATGGAGACAGATTGATGTAAACAATGTGCCCAAAATTCTGATTTTTGTAACTTGTGTTTCAAACGGGAATTGAAAGATGAAACACCTTGATGAACTTCAGGTGGTGATGAATCGATTAGTGGATCCATAAACTTGCAAAATTTCTCTAGCTGATCCTCATACCTATTTTGATTTGTGAAAAGAAACATAGGTATAATCAAAATCAATGAGGTTCTTTGGAGCCCTAATTCTTTTCCACTTGCTGAATCAGAAAGTTGGTTTACAGTCTACATCACACTCATTTGAGCAAACAGTTGGTGTTCTTAATAATATGATAATGTAGTATCGAGATAGGAAAGTCACACAGGAGTAAACCTTGGGTAAGCGTCAGCATCCTGTTTTGAAAACTTTGAAATCTCCGAATGATTTAGCTCAGCATCAGGACCTAAAAGAAGATAGCGTCCATCCAAACACGGCGTAAACGATGAAGGACTTCTCTTCAACAGTTTCAATCCATGTCTATGTAACTCCAGATCTCTTCAATTTCATCAAATTAAATATAAAAATCAATCAAACATCCAGTTTAGAAATAGGTCAATCAGACAATAGAAAAAAGGAAAAAAAAAATTGAATGATTCAGTGAAACCTGATGATAGAAGGACGAAGGAGGCTCTGGAGGTAGCTGCAACGGGAAAACTTGAAACCAGGGATGAGTTCTTCGGTGATGGCGGCACCGCCAATGAGGTGGCGGCGCTCAAGGACGGCAACGGAGAGGCCCGATTGAGCTAGGTAAGCAGCGGCAGTAAGGCCGTTATGACCACCGCCGATGACTAGTGCGTCCCATTTCTTGTTTAAGGCGGAACTAGTGGTGCTGCAAAAGCCTCTTCTCCACATTTGGGACTCTCGCTCACTTTTCACTTTCCACTGTGTGTGGTGTGTCTCAGTTGCAGTTGCAGTTGCAGTTGCAGGTTTTGAAACCAAACGTATGCGGATTGGCGATGATGTTGAACAAGTGTTACCAAAACTGGTCTGGAACCCAAACCGAATCGAAGAAAAGTTTAACTGTCTTATGTTACATGGATCGCCGTAAATCGCGTATTACAAGTGGGTGTGGAGTCTGGAGTCTAGACTCTGGAGTGAAATAGTTTTAAGAGTAAATTACACATTTGGCTCTGTGGTATACCCCATTTCACATTATTGGTCCTATTTTGAATTTCGTAAAATGAATGGTCCTTATGGTTTCATGTTAGTACACGAATGGTCCCTCAGCGTAAATCATGTTTATGTCCCCTCCGCTAAAAAGAGTCATGTAAAAAGAGTAATGTGCCTCGAGTGGAGGGAGCTCCATGCGTGAGTTGCTTACTTTGAGGCTCTCTTCACACGTGGTCAGTGGGTTGGTGGTGGCGTGGCTCTTAGGACGGACGATTTTTTCGACCATTGGGCATTAAATTTAAAAAAAAAAAAATTTCTTTCATTTCATTCCTCTTTATATATATATATATATATATATATATATATATATATATATATATATATATATATATATATATATATATATATATATATCCACTTTTACACAATTTTTTCAAAACAAACATACAAATTCTCTCAAATCAAACATACAAATTCAACAAAAAATGGATAGCGGTTCTGATGACGTTGCACACACTATTGTCTACGGCACAAGATGCGATTCATAAGAGAGATGAAACTTCACACCGCGAGAAGAAACATAGAAAATATATCAATCGGCATCGAGAGGCAGCACATGAACTTTTGGTACGTGATTATTTTGCCTTTGATAGTCTTTATGACCTATCAAAATCCGAAGAACGTTTTCGTATTAGTAGAAATTTATTTTTACGTATAACTTCAGATTTGGAACGTAATTATGAGTTTTTCCAATTACGATGGGATGCTAGAGGTAAACGTGGTTTTACCACAATACAAAAATGTACGGTTGCTCTTAGACAATTGGGATATGGTATAACCGTAGACGCATCATATGAGTATCTAAAAATGTCTGAGAGGACGGGTCGAGATTGTACATATCTTTTCTGTGAGTATGTTATAGAGCTTTACAGTGACATATACTTGCGGCATCCGACTAAAAGTGTTGTCGAACAGTTGTATGTCGCGCATCAAGCTAAACATGGCTTTCCATGGATGCTTGGTAGTATTGATTGTACACATTGAGAGTGAGCAAATTGTCCCAATGCGTGGCGTGGTCAATTCACGCGAGGAGATCATGGGGTCCCAACTGTTATACTCGAGACGGTTGTTTCAAACGACCTATGTTTTTGGCATGCATTCTTTGGTATGGCGGGGTCAAACAATGACCTGAATGTGCTTCACGCGTCTCCGTTATTTAACGATATTTTGCAGGGTAAAGCATCAGATATGTCATACATTGTGAATGGAAATGAATACAAGTATGGATATTACCTAGGTGATTGAATATATCCAGAGTATGCTACATTTGTTAAGTCTTATTCATTTACAGCCGATGAGAAACGAAAATTGTTCAAGTTAGCACATGAATCTACACGGAAGGACGTCGAACGAGCGTTTGGAGTCCTAAAACAAAGGTGACACATAATCAAGCATCCGGTACGAACATGTGATAGGGCAAAACTAACGACGGTGGACTGCTTGTGTGATTTTACATAACATGATAATAGAAGAAGAGGGCAGAGCTATTTGTTCATATACCGGGAACGATGTACTTAACCTACCTGCAATAATACAAGTTGGCAGCCCGACATACTTCTTCAGGGTTTTGGAAATACAAAATCATGAAACACATGACAATTTACGGTACGATTTGACCGAGCACATATTGGGAGACAACTCCAAAAAGGAAATGACGATGGAGACAAAGAGGATGAAGGTGATGATTACGACGAGAATGCAGACGGTGACGACGAGGCGGATAAGGATGATGAGGATGATGACGACGAGTAGTATTTGTCTACGGTTTTTATGTTTTACTTTTTTTTTTTAATTAAGTAGTGTAATATTTGATTGTTAGGTTTTATGTGTATTTTAGTAATTTAGGTTTTAAATTTCTATGTTTTTAATTAATGAAATGTGTTTTTTTTTGTGTGTTTTCAAAAAATTTATTTATGTTATAAATTATGTTTTTTATTTCATATAGTGTTACAAAAAATAAAAAAAAGTTATGTATTTTATAAATTATGTTATTTATTTAATATAATGTTTAAAAAAAAAAAGTAAATGTTGTTAGTGGTGATCATTTCCTATGTGAAGTGGGTTGGTGGTGAAGGTGACATGGCGCAGAAGTGACACCATTTTTTCGGTGGGTTGGTGGTGACCACTGTCCATAGCCTTAGACCGGTGGGAATGAGAGAGAAACTTCTCTCACTTTTTGTGGGTCACATCACAATTTCTCTCACTTTTTTTCCCTCGCTTAAACCCAAGGAATGGGTGAGAAGTTTCCCTCATTATTTTGTTTGTTTGTTTGTTTGTTTTTTTTTTTAAATAAAATTAATTCTTTTTTATGATTTATAATTTTTAATTAATAATAAACATAAAATTTAATTAAAAATAAAAAGCATTTCATTAACTAAAATAAAAATTACATTAAACCTAATATTTAAATAAGTAGAATTTTTTTTTAAAAAAAACTCACAAACAAAAAATCAAACAAACTACAACATAGAAAACATAACTAATATCCTAATTTTTTTTTTTAAAAAAAAGTACGTCACTCGTAATAATCGTCCTCGCCGTTGACCTCATCGTCTTCATCATTCTTTTGAACGTCACTCTCATCATCAGAATCTTCGCTCTCGACAAACATATTAGAATCCTCGTCTGATTTTTCAAACAAATCATCATGAGAAAACTCTATCAACGGCTGAATATGAGTCCTATAAACGTGCTCCGCCAAATCAGCACGAAGGGGATGATGAATATCACGATTGTGTACCTCTCTTCTATTTGCCCTATACTCTTGTGTACCAACGACTACTCCTTCGACATTTGACAAAACTTCATTTTCGTTGTACCGACATATCGCTCTTCCTTCGTCTTCAAGAATCATATTATGCAATATGATACATGCATACATTACGTGTTGTAACCTTTTCACTTCATATGACCTTACCCCGGTTGCTAGTACTTGCAACGTCTCTTAAGTACACCAAATGTTCGCTTCATGTCCTTCCTAGCTGACACTTGCGCCTCTTTAAACGTTTTCCTTTTCAGGTCGTTAGGACATGTAAAGGATTTCACAAAAACAGACAAGGGAGGATATATACTGTCAGTAAGATAATATTCACGCTTATATGCTACCCCATTTGCTTGAAAAGGTACATCGTGTGACTCTCCAAAGTAGATATTATTGAATACCGGCGACTGGTCAAACACATTGATGTCATTGTTTGCACCAACTGGACTAAAGAATGCATGTCATATTCAAAGATCATGTGATGTGATAGCCTCTAGAACGATCGTCGGCTCTTTGTGGTTGTCTTTCATGTACTGACCACGCCATGCGTTGGGGCATAATGACCAACTCCAATGCATGCAATCGATACTACCAAGCATTCCAAGGAATCCATGTTTTCCTTCATGCAACATGTACAATTGGTGGATATCGTTCGTAGTTGGTTTGCGTAAATATCGTTGCCCATAAACCAAACAGATCGCTTTGCAGAACTTGTACACACACTCCCGCACGATACGCTCTAACATCCTAAAATACTCGTCATATTTGTTTGTGCTCATGTTGTATGCTAACTAACAAATTGCAGTCGTGCATTTTTGAATTGGAGAGAAACCTTTTATCCGTCTCACATCAATTTTCCATTGGAAATATGGAAAGCGTCCTTCCAAATCACCAACAATACGTAAGAATAGTTCATTCCTCATCCGGAACCGAAGTCAAAACTTTACAACATAGATGGCGTCATTTGCAAAGTAATATTCTATAAGACGATCATGTCCGACTTCGCGATTTCTACGCAACCGCAACTTTCTTGGTTTAGATCATGCACATGATGTTTTGCCTAGTTGGTTTTGAAAGTATGCAACCGTTTTCGCCATGATGGAACCAATAAACTTAGTCTCCTCTAAAGCCGTCGAATCGGATGATGAAGATGATGACCTTTTGATTAATATTTTTTGGAGAGAATAAGAAGGTATGAGTTAAAAAAATGGTTGGATGTTGTGGTATTTATAGTGTGATAAAAGAATATATATATATATATATATATATATATATATATATATATATATATATAGTCATTTGAATAAAAAAAATTAAACAACCAATAGGAAGAGGAGTGAGAACGCGATATACCCACCCCCACCCTTCTCCCCGCACCCACGGTGCAATGTTCCACACTGCGAGACTCTTCCCGCAGCCTTCCCAGCATACGATACCGTCCGGCCTTACATGACGAAAAAACTATCACTTCCTTAAGGTTCCTTATCATGCATAATTAAAAGGTTAGAAGAGAAGTTTTATTACATCCTTCTTCATCTCTTTCTTCCTTCTCTTTCTGCATTTGGTTCACGAAGATATTTTGAATATGGTAATTAGTGTATGTGGTACCGAAGCAGTAATCGTGACATCTTAGACAAATCTTAATCTAGGTTGGAGGTTATGGTGTTTTTCACGAAAGGGGAACAATTTATTAGAAGATATTGTATTATTGTTGTATATCTTTATATTTCAGGAAGTTAGCCTAGATGTATCTATATATTTGTTTATTGTGTTTAATGAGAATCATCAAATTATTCATACCACTTTATGGTATTAGAACCTCTCAACCCAAAACCATAATTCCTCCTTTGACATGCACAACCAAAAACGTGAAGATGGCTATATGATGGGTTTCGGCGGTATAACATGGATGTGGTTGTTTGGTTGTGGAGGATTTTGGTGTGTGTGATGTTATGTAAGTAGGCAATTGCATGAAGAGCATCAACTCGTAGGGATGGTGGTAAGGATGCATGAGCAAGTAAAACAAGAACGATTTCATTTAGGCGGCAGATCATTCTTTCGACTTTCCTGTTCTGAGAGGAAGTTTGAGGGCAAGCAAATCAAAATGTAAAGCCATGGGAATGCAAAAATTGTAAAGTTGTGGTTATCAAACTCACCACCCATATCATATTGAAAACTT